TTTTCATTGTTGGACAATATTTTTAAAATAATGAAGGTTTGCTAGAGTTCGTAAATTTCGAGCAATTTAGAATTAGTTTACTCATCCAAAAAATGTAGAAGTGTTTTTCTTACTAGTTCTTTACGTTCGTTCTATGGGGTGCTGAGGTTTGCCACCTCGCCAGGCGACTGCTTCACAACGAAACTCAAAATTTAGCACTTTTTCAGTTTTTTGACTATAACTCGAAAACTAAGCGTTTTTCAATCATATACAAAATAAAAGTTGACAAGAATATTGAACGACTATTCGCAATACGTGGTTGACGGTGGTTTTCTCCTGCACAAAGTTGTGTGGCCCGAAAAGAAGACATTTGGTCAAATTTGTGACAGCTACGTTGAATATTTCCAAAAAAATATACGGCAACTGTAGTAGTAGTCTTCGACGGCTACTACCATGCACAGAAATTAACTAAAATGGAGCGCATGAGAGGATCCAATACGCAGTCAGTTGATATCCAAGTTAATGACAAAATGGTGCCCACAGTCCCCCAGGAGAAGTTTCTGTCTAATACCTGCAAGAAAAGCAGATTCATTAGCATGTTTCTACAGAAATTTAGGGCAGCCCAAATTGACACGAAGCAAGCAAGTGAAGATGCAGAAAAAAACAGCCCAATACTTTGCTGCAGAGCACGAAACCGTTGTAGTGGTTGGTGAGGAAATAGACCTCCTGGTTATTGTGATTGGAACCCTGACGTTTCCCAATGTATATTTTTTGAAACCAGGAAAAGGCAAAAATCTTCCATCTATTTACCATTCTCCAAGTGCTGTCGATACATGCCTGGCAGAACATAAATACTAATGCAAACAATTAAAGGGTCAAAAGAATTTCCGAAATTTTTTCGTGATATTTAACAGACTGAAAAATTGTCGTATCGGGAATTAAAAAAAAGCATTTTGAAGTCCTAAGATTCTATTTTTTAGATCTTTTGGTCGAAATTTTTTAGGAGCTACGGTTATCATGCAATTCTAGGAAATAGCACGAGAAAAAAATTTTGCAATTTTTTTTTCTTCAGAGTCCACGGACTTGGAATTTTTTTTCAGTTAAGCCATTGCATGGACCAGATAGCTTGTTTATTCAGCTTCAATTTCATTTTTTTTTTAATTTCGATACAACCATTTTTCATCGAAATCTCGGACTTTTAATGGAAAAGGATTCTTTTGTCTTCAATCATCGATATGCCGGCGCCAAATGGTCGTACAGACAATTTAAGGGCATTTTCGAAAACTGGAATAAATTTCCTATAACAAGTTGCCGCAACTTTTCGGAAAAAATGTTTTTTTTTCATCTTTTACACGAATTTTAAAAAACAGGAAAAAAGTGTAATTTATGGTTTTTTAGAAAATTGACGGCTAAATTAGAAATATTCACGAAATGACTGACGTTATGAATGACTTTTATAGTTCGATATATTTTATTTATTTTATTTTTATTTTATTTTTGGCCAGGCAAAGATACAAATTTGTACATATGGCAAGTCAAGTATACTAAAAAGAAAAGAACAGAACAACATACATCGATAGTGACAATAAAAAGCCACAGTTAGCATCATTTACCACTTATAAAATCCTCCACACTATAAAAACCTCCAACTGACAAAAATTCTTTAGTTTTGCTTTTAAATTTTCTATAATCAAGTATACATCTAATTTCTATAGGAAGAGCATTGTATAAAATCACACAATTATAATATGAAGATTTTTAAAAGCACTTGTATGGTGAGAAGGAATACTCAACAGCTCACCATGTCTGGTCATATAGTTATGAAAATATGTCCGTTTATTAAAAAGACTTAGATTATTTTTTGTAAAAATTAGGCATCTTAAGATGTAAATTGAGGGTGTTGTGAGAATTTGCTTATCCTTAAACACACTCCTACAACTCTCATTCACCTTCAAGTTGAAAAGTAGTCTAATAATTCTTTTTTGACATATGAAAACTCTTTCCCATTCACTACCTCTACCCCAAGCGAGAATGTTGAACGCTATGTGACTGTATACCATGGAATAATAAACATTTACTAAGCCCGCCTGATCAAGAGTATGCTTTAACTGCAGTATTGCAAAGAATGCTTTATTTGACTGACCACAAACATGGTCAACATGCTTATGCCAGGAGAGCCTAGAATCAAGGATGGTGCCAAGAAGTTTTACCGAATCTGACATGGTACCTTCATCGGACATGAGGTTTGCAAGTAGAAGCCTTTGAAGATGAAAATTAATGTATACCGTCTTTTTGGTGTTTAGTATTAATTTATTTCTATGGCACCATACACTCAATGAATCTACCACATTACATATAATTGTTCGGACTTCCTCAGGTGTATTTGCTGATACAGTAATCGTTGTGTCGTCAGCAAGCTTTGTTACATGACCATGCTCAATGTATGATGGCAAATCATTGACATAGAGTATGAACAGCAATGGATCTAGTACGGAACCCTGAGGCACTCCAAGTGCAACCGCATATAGATCCGATTTTTCCTCGTTTATATTGACTACCAGAGACCTATTTTCCATGTATGAAGTCAGCCATGCAAGCATGCTACCTCTTATGCCCAGACTGTATAATTACCCTGCGACGTTTCATCTCGATTTAGCGAACCGTTAAACTTTGAAAAAAATTTAAAGGGTCACGTTTTGAGCTTAAACAATTCATAATAATGATTAAAATGCAAAAAAAAAATATTTTTTTGAGGTTTTCTCACATTTTTACCGCAAATAACGTTTAAATTGATGAAAACAAAAAAAAATTCGAAAAATTTTTGAAATTTTTATTTTGTTTTTTTTTTTAACATTCCAGACATTGAAGAAAACAAAATCCAATTACTTCCAGCACGATTCGACTTTTTCGTCCTATGCTTCTGTTCATCAACTTTTAATTAAATTAAAATTAAAGTTGTTGACCCAAACCAGATTTGGACCCCGATTTATACCGTTTTTTTGAGACAAATTTCTCATATATGAGCCAGCAATCGTGTGTAAGTAAATATCCATTTAAAGTGCAACGGTCTGAAACGGCGGAGTACGATTTTAACACGGTCTATAGAAATGCCCGTCTCATATTATATGGGACACATGGTCTGTGTGTAGCTTGCGTTGCTGGAGATATATTGTCATCAACAAGTGTCGTTTTGTATTTTGTTTTTTTATTTATTTTTAAGAATATGGTAGTCTTATATCTTTTGAAAGTAGAGATAAGTACGTGCCATTACTTCACCCACAAATAAAATGCCAAAAGAAAAGAACCATTACCCTAAGAAAACTGAGAAGAAGATTTGCTCTTCAAAAAAAAAAGATAAGTCAAAAAAGAGAAGTCAAACTTTTTTGTCTGTGAAAATCGTAATGACAAAAATGGACAGACTGTTGGACTATGTGGGGACCCCTGCTTCAAGAAATACCATGAAGGCTAACTCTACTTTCCTTCTAAAATATTATCTTTTCATTTTTCTTTTTTTTTACATAGAAATTCTAAGTGGCCATTCCTTATTTATGTAATGCATTGGAAATATATTGTTTAGTTTTTTTTACTTTGTTTAGCTCTAAAAGTGCTGAAAACAAATACTTCACTAAAAATTGTTGCACTCTTTTAGGTCTCATATGTGAGCCACTGGTCCATTTAGCAATTGATTCCATTATAGACCAGTGTCACATATGTGAGCCGGATCAAAATATCCCAAAGGAACCCCATATTAATATTTTATACATATACAGATCGATAAAAACTTCAATTTTAGTTACATTCATGTAAAAATTTATGCTTGGTCTCTGAGGTTGAAATTCAAATATTCCCTTGGTAGCCAACGTGTTAATCATGATTATGAAGTGTTTAAGCTCAAAAAGCGTAACCCTTTCATTTTTTTGAAAAGTTTGAAACAACGAAACGGTTCGCTAGATCGAGATGAAACTTCACAGGATTCTTCTGGGTATATTGAACTGTAAAAGTCATGCTTAACATTAGTCATTTCGTGAATATTTCTAATTTAGCCGTCATTTTTCTAAAAAACCATTATCCCTGTTTTTCCTGTTTTTTAAAATTCTTGTAAATGATGAAAAAAATAAAAAATCCGAAAAGTTGCGGCAGCATTTTATAGGAAATTTATTCCAGTTTTCGAAACTGCCCTTCAATTTTCTGTACGACCATTTGTCACCGAGATATCGATGACTAAAGACAAAAGGATCCTTTTCCATTAAAAGTCCGATATTTCGATGAAAAATTGTTGTATCGTAATAAAAAAAAATGAAATTGAAGCTGAATAAACAAGCTATCTGGTACATGCAATGGCTCAACTGGAAAAAAAAATTTCCAAGTCCGTGGACTCAGAAGAAAAAAAATTGTTTGTCGTGCTATTTCCTAGAATTGAATGATAACCAAATATGTTACCTTTTATCAAAACATTCTATCTTCCCCTTGAATTAAGAGTAGTACGATTTTGTTTGAACTAGCAGGCCCGTTGACCATATATGGACCTCACTCACGTTTGATAATTCCTTAAATGTAACCTGGACATACCAAGTATCTTAAAATAAATTAATAGTAGGGCACCAGCGCGCAGTTAGAATAACGTTTTCAACTTTTTTTTATCACGATCTACTAAATCATAGTTATAATCAAAAAACGCTTAGTTTTCCTTGTGAAACCAACGCCTGGTAAGGTGGCAAACATCAGATTCGGATTCAGCACCCCAAAAAACATATAGAACTGGTGAGAAAAAAACTTCTACATTTTTTTCCTGAAAAAAACCTTTGCTTACTGGATTAAATAAAAATACATAAACATTATTTAGCCAAATAAACGACTCGATTGTTAGTTCCTCTGATAATCAGATGTTATTAAAAATGTTTTTTGGACTTGTGTTCGATTAAATAAAAAATGAAAAGCACTTTTTGCTTTTTAGGTATATGATTTGATTTTTTTCACCAACTCTTTGATAAACATATCAAACAAAATTTGTCTTTACTTACTTTTCAACACAGTGAGCTGCTGTTAAAATATATAACGTATGGAAGATTGATCCTCCACAGATGTGACTATTCGATTTCTTAACAGAGACTTGGTAGGGATAGTCCAGAATACTTGCATTTTTTCCTCCAACTATTCTATGGTCAGGAATAGGGATTGTTGCTAGAACATGATGTATAATATATATTTGTAACAGGTAGAAACTGAATTAAGATTTTTTAATTATAAAATCTAATAGAAGTTAAGTTAATATACAACAAGTAATGACATACTGGATAGATGGTGACAAAATAGTAAGGATAATTTGGGTGACAGCGGGATGAAATGTGAGAGTGTATAATGATATGAAATTTATAATGAAATCTCAGTCTGAAGGAATAAAAAGTGTCCACAAAATAATGTAATGTAGTTAAAAAAAGAATAAAATGGTATTAAAAAGGGTAAATTAAAAATGTATAAATTAAAAAATAATCTGATTGGTTGAGATTGAAAACGATATATTAAGAAACATTGTAATTAGATATAAGAGTGCGGTGAGAAAGAAAAAGAAACGTGGTGATCAAGGAGACAGGAATAAATAATAATTGGAGAATATAGAAGTTAAAAAGAGGAATTAGAAGATATAAAAATTATAGCAATTAAAATGAGTTTAAAAGTGAAATAAAATATATGGAGAAGAGTATTTAAGAAAAATAATCAAGCATAAAGTTATTGCGGGACATTTAAAAAACAATAAAGAAAGGAGAGAACAGTGAGAGTTAGGAAACAGGAAAGAAAAAGTTGTTTGGCAGAAAGAAAATTAGGGTGAAGTCTAAATTAACATAACTAAATATAGTCATAGTACTGTCAGGTTAGTAAAACATCATTTTGAATTGTCGTAGCCATTCAAAAAAAGGAGCCAGGGAGGTAATTCAGACAGTGGCAGTCAACGGAGTGGAATAGGACATAGAAAGAGAACAAGTCAAAATAGAAGAGAGTTTGAGTGAAAAAAAGGAAGGAGAAGAGGCAGCAGAAAGATTACAGGAAGGACATTATTATTGAGGAAACCATAGACAAAAGGACAACAAAAGTGTAGATATAGGTAACAAGACACTATAAGTTTATAGAATAAGTAAGAAATTAAAAATAATTTAGCTCAGGTTAGATAGGGAATTAGGAAGGATTTTATAAATTTATAACCTGTTATTTCAATATATGAATTTCAATCTCAATTAAAACAATATTCTTTTATTTTTTTTAACAAAAGTAAAGAAACAAAATTAATTACATATTAAATATTTTCTTCATAATTAATTTAAAAATCCTTTAGAACCGACTACTGAGATATCAACATGCTCTATTAAAATTTTTATTCTATAATTTGCAGAAAGTTCACTAGTAGTCGAGTTGTCATTAAAATTATTAAATTTTTTAAAATATAACAGAATTTAGTTTGAGAATAATTTAAAANATTTTTTTTAAGAATACTATAGGAAAATTCAAAATTTAAATATTTTAAATACATTTCACATGTTAAACAAATCTTTATAATACTATAAATTGGCGCTCAAAATTATTTATTAAATAAACTACACAAAACAAACAAAGGTAAATTATAGTAAATCAAACACAAAAATATAATTATTTATAGTATTATAATATATTATTACAAATATATAGGGTGATTCACTAATGATGACTAAAATTGAAACCTCGTATTCTTTGGTGAATTTTAAGGGGAGTCTTTCCTATAAAGTTTTTGTCTAGGACATTTCTTTAAAAAATACAGGGCTTTTCCTAAAATTTACATGCTCCAGTGGCGGATATACAGGGTTTCGGTGGCATATTTTTCTAAATAAAATAGTACGCCACTGCTTTACAGTAGCAACCATGATAATTTCGTCTTTCAATTTTCTACAAATTATTACTCTCTTGTTTTTCAAAAAAAAGACTGATTTTCGAGTAAAACTTAAAAAATCAATTGAATACTGAATTTACAGAAATGTTAGTATCGCATTTTTGATACAATAAATGTATGTTGTTAATAAAATTCGATTTTCTCAAAAACGGTACAGGATATCGACTGATATATGGCATACTTTGTTTTTAGCAAAGTGAGAGAGAAATCGAACTACGAAAGAAAAATGTCAAATTTGGCAACGCTGTCAAAGATGTATAAATTTAAAAGGATAATTTCGTCTGCTTCTGTATGATCCAGGCACATTGAATATCAGTTTAAACTTGGAACTGAATTACCACGAGTTACTTTAATTGTCCAAATTTCATTGTTGTCATGGTAACGACTTAGAAATTTTAATTGGAATTTGTTTTTGAAACTTCTTCCTTCGAAGGAGAGTAACTTCGCAACGAAGCCCGATAGGAAAAATTTTTTAATGATCTATTTTGACCTCCCCTATATACCCCTTCATTCTTGACATGACCTTTCCGGACACCCTGTATAGTGCCACTTACGCGGATTGTCTTTTATATTTCGGAATGGACGATCGTGGTGCTGTCGTGTGAAAATCGACATCTCTATCGTAAAAGTTTGGCGGTATAATTACAGAACGTTTCAATGCATACGCTGTTTGTGTTGTTTATACAGACTTGAAAAATTAATCTCGGCCAATAAATGGAATTAAGTCGTAAACATTTCCATGATATTGTTTTTTGTAAGTTTCGACGTAAATTATCTCAACAACAGTGCACCGATGAACTTGATTAGACTTTGATGGTAATGAAGTACCATCAAAAAGCACTGTATATCGGTTGTATACGGAAGTCAATCGTGGTGGTGGTTCGTTCAATGTCGAATTTCGTGAAGGTCGTCCAAAATCAGTTGTTGTTCTAGAAAACATTGTAGGACAGGGCGAATCTGTCGAAATATCCCACTTCTTGTATGTAAGAGGGGGCAAGCTAATTTTTGCTGGAATACCTTCAATACGACTCACATAAGTAATAAAAGTGTAGATCCCTAGATCGGGTCGAGGTCCGGAATATTTTCAAAATTGCAAAATGTTTTAAAAATTTTAAAAAATACCTATTCTATCTTGAGTTTTTTACTTACATCTTGGAACCTATGCATTTTGGAAGAACTAAGAAAGAGGAAAACAAGTTTTAGAATTGAATTTTGCACAATATACTATTAAGAATGTTTAAATTTATTATCGATGTTGCAAAATAGCAATTAATAATTGATGAAAACAAGGCAAAATAATCAAGTTTTTTGGATAATTTTTTTTAAATATTTCAATTGCTTCGAGGACATTTTAATTTTGGTAAAAAAACATTAGAGTATACAACATACCAAATTTCACTAAAATCGGTTCGATAGTTTTCGCAAAATAATATTTTGAAAAAATTTTTTTCATATATCAAAGACCGCTCAACGTTTCAAATGGTTTTTGAAAAATTGAAATCGGTTGATTAGGACGGCCACAGTAAATTTTTAAAGTTAACACTTTTTTTTTATTTTTAAACAATTAGATTACATTTATCAATTTGCAATTTAGTTTCTTTTAAAAATTATAATTTTAAAGTACTCGGAAAGACGTTTCTTTTTTTTAAGTTAAATTCCGTTTATTGGTTCTCGAGATATAAGCGGCCAGAGTTTATTGGCATTTGCCGTTATTTTATAAACAATTTAGCAATAATCTTTGATCCAGTGGCTTCGTTTTCCGAGTTTTAAGCTGGGAAAAATTTTCGTATCCATAAGTTATCGGCAACATAGATAAATCATCGGAAAAACTGTAGCTCGCATGCGCGGAAAGTGACTCAAAACACGAAAAGTGGTGAAGGGGGGCTTTCGCTCTGAGACTGAATTCGGAGGTTGAAAGCTACGAAAAAAATTGCATTATCTCGGCTTCTAATGGACCAATTTCGATCTTTTTTTTTTAATCGCGAGCCAAGGAATTTGAATATCGTAATGCCAACTGTCTAATTTGCACATATTTTGTTATAAACAAAGTTTATTATTTATGCATTAAATATACTGTATATTTTACCCTATGCTATTGCATTTTTTCAATGAAAAAATTTGTTTACGTATATACAGTGTGTTTCACTTAAAGTCTTTAGGATGGCCGATTTCAAAAATTCTTTTTTTATGTGGTAGTACTCAAAAAGGCCTACTTTTTGATATTATATATTTTGACATAATTATGGTCTTTTCTACGGCCTACTATCAGTAAGAAAAGATCCTCAAAAATTAAAAAACATATTAGGCATTTTTTTAAGAAAGAAATGGATAGCATTTTCGATTGATTTGATCACACCTCAAAACCCTAAATACAAAGTTTCATTATTATAGCTATTACCGGGTGTTCACGAAATAGATGCAAACTTCGAAAAATTTCACTTATAAGTGAAATTCCGTGCCGTAGTCCAGTACGCTTCCACTGTGCTATTCTCTGAATAAATAATGTGTTTCTTAAAAAATATGAGTTGGAATCGAGTATCTGGCTGGCCATACTTTAACAAAATCAAACAAACTTCTGTATGGTATACGTGGTGTAAGTTATTGATGTGTATCTCTGCAGCTTTATATATGTGATACTAGCTGACCCGGCAAACGTTGTGTTGCCATCTTGTGGAACTGTGGATGGAACAAAATTATATAAAAATCGCGATTAAAAATCAGGGGTTGATCGTATAAGGGTGAAAATTTAGAACTGTATGTATTTTTCAATGCTGAATCATGAAAAAATAAAAACAGAAAATTTTGTCCAAAAAATAAAAAAAAAATTTGGGGTGGACCACCCTTAACATTTAGGGGTATGAAAAATAGATGTTGGCCGATTCTCAGACCTACTCAATATGCTCACAAAATTTCATGAGAATCGGTCAAGCCGTTTCGGAGGAGTACGGGAACGAACATTGTGACACGAGAATTTTATATATAAGATAATGCCGAAACAAAACCTTAAACAATTTCGTCGTCATAAAGGTAAAAAATTCGTCAGATATATTACACAAGACGGGAGCAAAATATTAATGACATTGATAGAAATGAGGACATAACAGCTAGTCTCTGCACACCTAATGTAATAATAATAATAACAGATAATACAGATTCAAAGAAGGTTGTTACTGTCATCAATATACAATATACGAGGTTCATCTGTTGAGCATAACGAAATAAGCATGGGCTCACTATTAGCAATTAATAATGTGAGACGGACAATTACGACAGTGAAACTTGCACCACAGTAACAGAGGATAAGAACTTATTAATTGATAAAACAGTGTTTGTGAAAAAATTACGAGAATGGGCAATAAGAGGAAACATTGAATTGATACAGCTTTCTAAATTACTCAAAATGTTGGTCAAATATGGTCATCACAACGAGCTTCCCGCAAATAATAATATCTCTACTCCTCATTCTAACCACGAGAATTAGCCCAGAAGTAGAAGATTTGTGCGGGAGAGGAGGCGGCATATTATCATTATTAAGCAGGCCGCATTTGCGCCCAGGAACGACTTATGTTAGTAAGCCCTAATCACCATTCTAGAACTCTTTTGCACACACCACGAAATGTGAATGTTATTCAATTAGACAATGGATATTTTGTTCATATGGGTATTAAAAATTTTTTAAATACATTCTTTGAAAAAAGGGAGCTGGATATTTTAGAGTTAAATTTGGAAGAAATAGAGTTTTCATTTAATGTAGATAGCACTCCCAGTGGCGATTCTGACTTCTGGCCCATTTTGGGAAGTTTTAGCAATTTTATTGATAGTCAACCTTAAGTATTTATGGTGGGAATATATAATGGCCCTAGTAAACCAGAAGCATACAATAGTTATAACCCAGTCTGTTGGGGCGACACAAGATTCCAACGTTTCACAAAATTGATACACTTGAAACTGCCTTTGGAAATCATCTTTGGTTGCCATTTTAATGCCTAATTATTTTACTTACGTTTTAATTCGTCTGGACTGCCGGCGCTTTGAATTTGGAGGTTAAGAAAATAGCTTTCGGTGTTGTCTAGTTCTAATACAGTTATAATAAAGATGCGGTAAAGATATGCTCTATCTATGCGATAGAGATGCGGTATAGTTTAAATATAAATATAATAAATAACTAATAAAGGTAGAATGAAGATTACCGGTACAGATTTAGTAAATCTGCGGTAAAAGTTCACCATGCAACTTCGGTAGATATACGGTATAGTTAAGACAAAGGATTATTTAAGATGCAATAAAGCTAGATATATAAAGTTAACAAGGTATATTTGCTATATAGTAGCAATAAAGGTTTTATCGGTACAGTTTACAATATAGACAAGGTATAGGCGCCATAAATATACGGGCGATAACGACAAATATATATAGCATCTTTATCTATCTTTATCGAAGAAAAATATCTTTATCGAATGGTTATACGGGTATTGCAGAGTGGAAAATATTTTCATGATATTTTTTCATAATTTTATTAACCGAAGGTATATCCATGCAGTTTCATTGATTTCACTCGTACAGGGTTACTAACAATAGGACAAGCAAATTATTTTTTTTTTATTATACCAGAAATGAGTTTTACAACGAAATAATATTTATGCACTGTTCAATTCGTCTCATGTTATTTCTAATAACTCTCCTCAACTGATGTGGTGTTATTTGTCGACAAGTTTGTCTATTACATAAATCTTCTGTTCTGGGGCCTTGTTTTATGCATTATTTTTTTTACAGTTCCCCATAAAAAGAAACCAAGAGGCGTCAAGTCTGGAGTTCTTGACGGCCACTCAGCTAACGGACTGTTGCGACCTATTCACTTTCTCGGGAAACACTCATTCAAGCAATGAGGTACTATTACCGCATTATGAATAGATGCTCCAGATAATTGAAGGTAGAGGTTCTGTCTTACATGAAGGGAAATGCATGTACTGAATCCCAGCAATCATTGTTTAAAAAATTCATAAAAATCTCTGCATTTAGATTAACGCAAAAAAGAAGGACCCGATTATTCGATCACATAAAATCCTACAAAACACGTATTTTTTTTAAATTAAGATTTATGTAATATAATTGGACAAGCATGTCGACAAATAACACCACATAGTTGAGGAGAGTTATTAAAAATAAAAGGAGACGAATGTACAAGAGTACATGGTGGACTAATAGAAAATAATAATACATATTTAAATATTATTGCGTTGTGAAACTCATTTCTGGTATAATAAAAAAATATATATATAATTTGGCTGTCCTATTGTGAGGACCGTGTATGAGTGAAATCAATGAAACTGCGTGGATATACCTTCGGTTAATAAATTTATGGAAAAATATCTTGAAAATATTTTTCACTGTTAATACAGGATACTATGCAATAAGTGAATGAACTGATATTGCAAGATTGTCATGTGCCTTATAGTGAGATTGAGACATCCTTGGATAGTAGTGGACCAGTTTACATTTAATACTGCATGAACATTCGGTCGCCAAAAAATTTGTTCGCGTTGGATCCCATATAATTTGACAAACGCTCAAAAATGGCTCGTGGTCGAAAGAACTGCTCAAGAAATACGATCGCGGTGCGTCAAAACACGTCTAGAACATCGTAATAGGTGACGAATCGTGACGTCGAACGGTCAATTCTGAATGGTACACAACCATTTTGTTTGCCAGAAAATTTCGGAAAAATAAGAGAAACCAACCGCTGAAGACGAACCATTTTCCACCAGGATAATGCGAGCTCTCACACATCGCCGGCTCAAACAAAAGATTTTTTGGTAACTAAAAAAGTTGAATTGATAAGTCATCCACCGTATAGTTTGATTTGGCACCCAATGACCTTTTTTATGGCCGCACATCAAAAATGAATTACGAGACCAACGTTTTTCAACGCTTGAAAAAGCGGTTGTTGCCTTCAAAATACATATTTTGTAAAAAGTGCTTCAAAAATTGGTTCAAGCACATGCAAAAGTGTATTGGCCTTCATGGAGAATATTTTGAAAAACAATAAAGCCATATAGGGTGATTAATTTCTTTTTTTTGTTCTCTATTTCCGAAATATATAAGGCAATTCTCCTATTTAGCAATATAATAGGCATATTTAAGAAAAAATATATATGTACCTTTTAAATTTGTTAAATGAAAAATGTACATGAAATTATTTCTTCAGCAAAACGTATTTTGACGAAATATGTTTATAGTATCAAAAAAAATGTAGAAGCAAAGATGTTGTCGTGTCAGTAAACCAGTATTTTTATTTTTTAAATTACGGCATTTTTCTAATTTTAAAATCTAAAATGTACAGGACAGCCATGACATCAATAGAATGAGTAATAATTGTTAAAAATAACTCGTGATTTATTACATGCTATTACAAAAGAAAAATATAACTTTATCTCCTTATTGTAGGCTAAAAATAACTGGTATAACAATTGGGGCAAGCAAAGTAAGTACTTTATAAAATTACTATTATTTGACGAAATGAGTTTTTTTATCTGTCATCTTACGAGAATAGTATGATCGATACGCGTCTTGCGTTTTCTCATAGTGCCTTGTACAGGGTGATCTTTTAAGAAAAAAATTGCCGAAGGGACACAAAATATGTAAGAGTAATGTATTTTCATTAACATTTAAATTAGCTTATGTATTTCTATTAAAAAAAAATAAATTTATAAGTCTATTTATGCCTTCAATTTGAAAGAATTTTGAGAAATGATATACGTGAATGATTTTACAATATTTCAATGTGGTAACATATCTGTTAATACTTACCACTTAATCCGTTTATAAATGTGAAGAAAATTGCGGAAACTGCTAGGATTCTGTCCATGATTTTTATTCGAAAGTAATATCTAATGGAACAAACACTGAACTGCATCGAACGAATTCTCAACTACGGCTACGTCAGGTGTTTTTAATTTATCATTTGAATAAATAATCTCAATTAAGACTTATTTGTTGAAGTATTAAACTATTTTCTTTACAATATCAGATAAGGCCTAGTGTTATTTTCCTTAATGTTTCTGAATAGCAACTATTAGTACTCTTCTTTTAATGAAACGTTCAATATGTCCTGTGTGTTATAGACGGAGAGCTGGCTACATAAAAATTATTGTTATTATATTTAATATTATTACCTAGATAGGTTGCAGCAACGCTCCCGAACACAGAGCCATCAGTCTTAGTGGAAAAAAAGATATAAGACTCCTTCTTAAAAATTATTGGCAACAATTACTGAATAGTTAACGAACCTTTGTGCCAAAAATGGCAGAACAGACGAAAATTCGGAAGATAACATGACGACAGACTGTGTGAAAGAGCGTCTTGACACGCTTTCATGCGATGCGCTATTACGACAGATTATTTTGTTAATTATATTATGTAATCTAGCATAAAAATTTCTATTTGAAGTATATACAGGATAGAACAGCTCAGCTATTTATGCTTATAAATCATTATAAGGAAAAAAAAACATGGTACTAGGTTCTGGAATAATTAAAATACGTACACGAGATATATGAGAAAAGTAAATATAAAAGTTCGCTATATTATTAATATAGTCATTTGTAGCAATAATAATAATAATAATTTGATTAGTATCCGTTGGATGTGTTTTTAACTGTTATACATTTGAAACAATTACTTTAAAACAAGTACCTACTTTAGTTATGTTATTATCTATTTCCGAAAAAGTCAAAACAAAAAAGTTATCTTACTTTTTGTGTAGTATCTACCCTGAAAGAATATGGAGACAATTTTGAATCACACACAAACATCTTTTATAAAATTACACACTAGACTAGATCATTGGTTATTTTGTCAAATAAGATAATTTAAAACTACACTATATCCAGGGTGTAACAAAAATAAAGTTTCAAACTTCGCCTTTTTGTTTAAAGTGCTTTCTTGGTGAGATACAGGGTGTTGGCGCAAATTTGTACGAATACTACACTACATACTATCATAACCTGAAGCCTTCAATGATTAAGAGTGTAATCCAGGTGCGGAGATATGGGGAAACTGGATCCCTTTTTTCTTAAATATTTCTACGCCAATGACTAAAAAAAAATTCGTTGAATTTCTAAATTGCCTGTTCTCTTCAGAGCAAAAAGTGTAACTTCACTTTTTTCGGGCGAACCTTCATTCTCCAGCTATTTGATGTACGATAAAAAGACCAGTTTTGCTTCAGAACATTTCTGAAAAAAAGGTTATGATTTATTCGTAGATTATAACACAAAATATCACATAATAAAATGAAACAGACACGCTAACACAAAAGACTGTTTTGTCTTATAACAAACGTTGAAAATGCCCTCCCCTAGATTCAATACACGGTCGGGTCAAGCAACTGGTCCTGCCCTGCCTATCCACGATATTGCTATTTAAGAAGATCACGTACAGCTCGATGGAAATGAGGGGGGGGGTACCATTATGCATGTACCATAAATTAACTCATGTCTCTAATGGTATATCTTCCAGAAGTTGCGGTAACGTATCTACTAAGAAGTTATAATACACATCTCCAGGTAAGTACTGTTAAATTGTTTGGCTAATTGCCGAGTACGGACATTTGGATTTTCTTTTCACCAATAGCTTCCAAAATAAATTCTTCAACCTCAACTGTACGAGTTCTTCGTGGTCTTCCTCTTCCTGGTAATGGAGTGGTCACTTTGTCTGTCTCTGCTAGACAGTGAAAGAGTGAAATAAATATCTTATGACTTGGATGTTGTTCATCTCGATAAACTTGATGATAAAGCCTAGCAGCTTCGCGACCTTTACTCAATGGTAAAAAGCGCCAATGCGCGACCGTACATAAAAACAGTATCTCCCGTTTCACGACACGAATAATTCACCATTTTGTCAAACTTATTAAATAATTTTGAATTAATAATGAAAACTGATGACAACACGAACTAACGACAAGACGACTTGACAGTAGTCACTTGAATCTGAAGGAAAATATGTGTTTTTATAGTACAATACAGCGATTTTTTAGCAAAGCTAGAGTGAGGTTACACTTTTTGCTCTAATAGTCCAGTCACTGAAGGTTTTGGCTACCAATTTTTTCGGATGGAATCGATTGACGTGAAACTTGAACTGTAGCTAGGTAATAGCCCAAAAAACAAAAGTTATATAGTGCCGATGTGTGCTTTTACCCTAGGGGTGGATGCCAGCCAGAGGCGGCTCGTGAAGGAGGACTCTGGGACTCTGGCGCCTAAACATGTTCGTTTTTAGCCCAATAAATGCATGTTTTTGAGCTATTTTTCGCAAATATCTCAAAAACTACAAGTTTTATCGAAAAAATGATCATAAACAAAAATTAAGGTAATTAAATAGCAGAGACTGCTTTTTTAAAAGTTTTTGTAGATGGCATAGAACCCGAGTTATGACCAGAAGTTGAAGTCAATTTCTAAGATAGCTATAGTCGAAACGTTCAACGTCCTATAGCAGAAAAATTAAAAGGTGTTTCGAGGAAAACTTATATAACACTTATTAAAGTTCTTGAAAAGACCTTTAAATTGAGTGGTGGTAAAAGTCGTTAGCATGAAAACTAATGAAAATAAAATCATTGTCTTTTTTGAGAAAAGAAATTGGTATTAAAATTAATGACGACGGAAAAAAATAAACGTATTCCTTCTGCAATTTACTTTATTTATGTATTAACCGTAGATTCTGGGTATTTGAACGATTTTAGAAGCTTAAATTAAAAAAAATATTTCATTTATTTTTGAATAAAATTTTTCAGTTTTTTAAAAAATCGCCCATTTTCAAAATATTTCAAAAACTAACAAAGTTATAAAAAAAAAATGATAGAATAAAAAATTGTAGATTTTTTCTTACTGGACAATTTGTTTTTTTTTCAATTTTTGTAGGACAAAATTTGACTGAGTTATGACCGTTAGAAGCTCAAAACTAAGCTCCAAGACTGCCTTTTCTGAGCCCTTTTAGCTTACAAATCTAAAAAACGAAGGGCTCAAAAAAGCTGCAAATCGTAGAACTTAAAGTGCTTTAAATTCCCTACAAAATGGTTTTTTGAGTAAATTTATAACTTTAAAATTACAAGAGTTATGGTAAAAAAATTAATCGCATTTTTTCGGTAAAATTTTCGGAGCGGGTAAATTACCATCATCTTTGTGTATTTTGGAGCACTTATACCTGATTTGAGTAAGTATTTTAATAATATACCATACACACACATTGCAACCAATAAAAATGCGAAAAAAGCCTGCACCGGATGAACTACTTAGAATGATATTTTGCAATTGCAAGAAGGATGCTGCGCAACTTGTGGTTGCAGAAAAGTTGGACTTTTTTGCAATACCATGTGTGGTTCATGTTCTGGCGATAATTGTAACAATTATCCTCAAATTTTGGACCTGTGCGAGGCTCTAGTGATGATAGTGATGAAAATTAAATATTTTATGATATATACATGTAAAAAATAACGGACCATTTTTAAAACATTTTGTACAATACATCCATTTATAATGTATATAAAAATAATAAATATTAAGAATAAATTCAATAAATTTGAAAAAATTTAATTATATCGTCATACTCACATATAATTTTTAGGAAATTATTCTATAAGGGGTAGGGTTTTTTATGAAGGGTAGGTCTTCCATAAGGATTTTTTGGGTGACTGAAAAGTTGCAATATATCATAGACCATTTGAAAACCAATAAAAAGTTTATTATTCAACATATGCATACCATTAAAACATCTCAAGCTTTCAATAATATTTTTTTGTTTATTTTATTATAAGGGATGGTTTTTAAGGGTCGCAACTTTGTAACGAGTCGTAAGCTTTCTAATGAATAACAAAAGAATTGCAATACATTGTGAATGCACCAAAAGAATATTTTAAACTGTAAAAACTTTTTTTTTTTTTTTTTTTGGCTATGGAAGGGTAGTATTTAAGGAATGTTAAGGGTTGAAAAGTAATTAAATTTCATAAATTATATTAAAAAACATGAAAGGAACTTTATCCAACATGTTTGAACATGAATCGAATCTTTAAAATACGTAAATCTGCGATTTTCGCATTTTTTTCATACAAGGGTAGTTTTCACCGTCAAATAGAAAAAAGCACAAATCTAGACAATATAACTTTTGAAGTGGGGGGTCAGATGAGCTTGTATGCAAATATTCAGGAAAATCCATGTTATCCGAAAAAATTGGGAGCTAATTTTTATTCAACGTCAGTGGCGTAATAGTATTTAAGAGAAAAGGGGTCCGGTTTACCCATATTTCTGCAACTGAATTACACTGAATTAGGGGTATGTAATATTCGTACTAAAGGGATTATTCTCTCCTACCGTTTTCAAATTATTTGAAAAAAAATAACTATAACTATAATAACTAATTGGGACCGGGGGTGGTTCGGACTATCGAATCGTTCGGATTACCAAACAAAGTGCTTTCCAGGCATAGTAGCATGCAAAAAATGAACACTGACATACTATTTCCCATAAAATAAGGAGCACGTTGTATTGTTAAAGGTACAAAATAGTTTGTTTTATGAAATACATACTACTACTGTGTTATAGTAAGGTAACTATATTTTATGTAAAGTATTGCACATGAATTTCGTAATATTTGTTATTGATGCTCTGTTTACTGTAGCAGTTAGAGAGCGATTCTGATTATATACTATTTTTATTTTTCCCAAAACGGCGTTCGGATTATCGAGCGTTCGGTTTACAGGGGTTCGGATTATCGAGGTTCTACTGTATTACATAAAGTGCTTCATTATAAATAAAAACATCTAAAGTTATAATTATCTATTTATTAACACTTTTGTTACACTCAAATTCCGGTATGCTCCCTTATCCATGCTCTGAGGTAACTGACATGTGTATAAACACCGGGATATCTAGGATCCCCACAACCCTCGCCCCAGGACACAATTCCAATTAATGTACTATTTAGCTCCAGTGCACCTCCGGAGTCCGACTGCAAGTAAACATTATTGTATTAGATGCAATGTTCAATTAGAAGACAGAGCGTCAGATAACTTGCCAAATGATAAACGCACTGTCTTCTACACTAATTGTATTTACGCTAATTATTTCATTAATCAAATAGAGTCAAAAGTGGGGAAAAATCTGTTATTACAATTTAAATTACATAATTGAAACATGTTTTTTGTGGCACAGGAAGCGGCAAGTACTTAGACTAATAAAGAGTAAAAGAGGAAGACAAAGCGAAAGAGCAGGAAAAAGTAAATGTAACAATATATACTGAGCTCGTAAAGTTTGGAATAAATTCGATAAATCGTTATTGAAGGGTTTTGACAGGAAATTTTCGGACACGTCAACTTTAGTTTATAAAATGTCACTTTTTTTTGTTTTGTTTGTTTTTGAGCTATGACGTCATCGGCAATTTTTTTAAATGGTAACCCATATTCTTTTCCACGAATTTCGATAGAGCACATTTTTCTGAGTACGAATATGTCAAAAACGTATGACCTTCAAGATGGAAGTTTTCGAGATAATAGACAGTTTAAGTTGATTGTAGATGATCATGATACGAATTTGAGCATGCGCAACGGTCAAATTCTACGTATACGTTCACGTCAAAGTTTCTAGAATGTACCATGTACAAGGTATATGGTGGGTCAAGTTTTTTAATAGCTTATTGAACATTTTAAGAGATTTTAGGAGTAATTTGTTAAATTTTTTAAGTAATAATCAATCAACAACAATTTTAACAAATAAAAAAAATGTTTCTGTACAAATGATAAATAATTAAAGTAAACAAAAAAATCAGAGGAAACCTCCATTCACTTCTTGGCAATATCACATCCGCACTGAAACTCCTGCAGAACCTTATGAAGAATATCTGGTTGAATGGCTCGAATTTCATTGCGAATTCTGTCCAATTAATTCTTCAATGGTATTGAAATAGACTGCTCTTTAAATAGCCCCATAAAAAGTAGTCTAGGGGAGTGAGATCCGGAGATCTAGGAGGCCATTCGATAGTTCCCATTAGACCAATCCAATGGTTAGCAAATGCTTGGTTTAAATAGTCGCGAACGATCACCGCAAAATGAGGTGGTGCACCGTCCTGTTGGTACCATATCGTGTTATTGGGCAGATCGGGATCTACGTCATTTGGGTAAAGCACCGCAAGTGCAGGGACTAAATCGTCTCTTAAAAATTCAAAATATTTTTCACCTGTTAATGAGCCTTCAATGAAAAATGGACCCAAAATACGGTTACCGTCAAGGCCAGCCCAAACGTTAACTTTTTGTGGAAACTGACTACGAGTTTCCATTTTCCAGTGTGGATTTTCAGAAGACTAATATCTACAGTTTTGCCGTTTTTGTCATCAGAAAAAACAATATTGCGTAAGAATCCGTAGTTATCAATCAGGCGTTGCAACATGGTTTCACAAAACTATAACCTACGGTCAGGATCATCTTCGTTTAATTCTTGGACCAGAACCACTTTATACGGATGCCATTTGTACAATTTCAAATATTTTAAGACGGAGCTTTGAACTATTCCGTTGTTTGCCGCCACTTGGCGGGTGGGTAAATGGGGATTTTCTTGAAGCTCTAGTAGAACATTCAATTTAACATCTTCTTGTACGGGTGGACGACCCGTTCCAGAGCGATCTCTCGCATGACCCATTTCTAAAAACTTTTACTCTATTTTACTAACGGTGGACTGTGTAATTGGTTCTCTGTTTGGATATTTGTTGTTAAATAAACGGCAAATTGCTACTTGTGTGCGAGCTCTGTCCCCGTAACCGATCATCATCAAAATTTTGATTCCTTCCCTTTCACTCAAATGACGTACCATTTTCAAATAAAATGAATTATGATAGAATAATGATTAATCAACTTAAAATAAAACACAAACTTGCGAGGACAAACTTCAAAATTCTGACAACTATCAAAACTGTAATTTTTCCATCGCTTGTATAATGCATTCTTGAAACTTTGGAACCGAATATCTCGAAAACTTCCATCTTGGAGGTCATACGTTTTTGACATATTCGTACTCAGAAAAATATGCTCTATCGAAATCCGTAGAAAAAATATGGGTTGCCATTTAAAAAAATTGCCGATGACATCATAGCTCAAAAACAAACAAAACAAAAAAAAGTCGGTGGCTGAAAAAAGTGACATTTTATAAACTATAGTTAACGTGTCCGAGGATTTCCTGTCAAAACCCTTCAATAACGATTTATTGAATTTATTCCAAACTTTACGAGCTTAGTGTATACAATCTAGACAATTGTTTTGTAGTAGTGTCCTTGATTTATTTATTATCAGTAAGTATATACAGGTTGTTATTTAAGTACATGGCCCAACTAGAAGGAGTGATTCTTTGAGTGAAGTAAGAGGAAAAGTTTATATAAACATAGGTCCGGCATTGCTTCATTTTCAAGATATAGCGTGTCAATTTTTTTTTAAATCGTTTTTTCGTAAAAATCGTAATCCTTTGGCCGATTTTGTTGAAATTTGGCAGTGTTATTTATGGTAGAAAAAGGCTAATTTAGTCCCAATTATATTAACATTATTAAGTCCAAAGGCGTTTCGGGGGCGTCTTAACCAATATTTTAAAAACTTTTATAATTTTTTTGCATTAAGAAACTAAAAACACAACTTTCTTGTCTTCCTTCCTTTTTGGAGAAAAAAAATGAATAAAAATTACTTTACTGCACGTCCATGGGCAACAAAAAAAAATTAATAATTAATAAAACACAAAATTTTCTTTTAGCTAGCATTAATTTTTATAAAAATTTTTAAGACTAGAATAGACTATTAATATGGAAAAAACTAACAAGCACACCTCAGTTTTTGATAGTTTGGTAGTTTTGATGTTTTATTATGAAAGTTCTAAAAAAGTTTTAAAAAAGTCAGTGGCGCATATCATTTTGTCAAAAATATTGGTTAAGGTGCCCCCCGGAACGCCACTGGGCTTAATAATGTTAATCTAGTTGGGGCTAAATTAGCCCCTTTCTACCATAAATAACACTGCCATATTTCAACAGAATCGGCTAAAGGATTATTTAAGATTTTTACGAAAAACGATTTTTTAAAAAAGTTTGACACCCTGTTTCTTGAAAACGAAGCATTATCGAAGAATTACCCTTTCAAGTTTGGCCACGTAAAATGAAATATACAGGGTGTTAAAAAAAGAGTGTAAAATATTTCAGGAGGTAATAGTATGAACCAAAATAAGCAGAAAAGTCTTAATAAACATGGGTCCGCAAAGTAACGGTTGCGGAGATATGGACCACTATTCGTTTTTCAAACATTTTATTTTATTAGGAATAAACCGACAAAGGAAGCTTTTAACAAACAAAAAACAAAGTTACAGAAGATGTTCAAAGTGCCCTCCGTCCATTTCCAAGCAGGCACGACATCTTCGTCTCAACGATATTCGAACTCTTTCGAAAACACCCTCCTTGGTTTGGATTTCTTGACACTTTTGATTAATCCGTAGCTGCAGCTCTTCCAGGCTATTTACAGGAGTACCATACACTAATGTCTTCAAATATCCCCAAACAAAGAAATCTAGAGGGTTCAGATCAGGCGATCTTGGAGGCCATAAAACAGGTCCGGCCCTTCCTACCCATCTATGTGGAAAAGTTTGGTGTAAATGCTCTCTAACGGCCATGGAAAAATGAGCTGGAGCACCATCATGCTGGAACCACATTTGTTGCCTCTGATTCAAAGGAATGTCTTCCAAAAACTCATACAGTGTGTTCTGCAGAAAGTTGAGGTAAGCAGCGCCTGTTAATCGGTTTGGTAAAACAACAGGACCTAGAAACCTGTCACCTACAATACCCATCCAAATGTTTAATGAAAAACGTGCCTGATGTCCAGATTCTATTAGAGCATGAGGATTTTCGTCGGCCCAAATATGCGTATTGTGAAAATTAAACACTCCATTTCTTGTGAACCCGGCCTCATCAGTAAAAAGAATGTTTGCAAGAAAACGAGGGTCTTCAGCATCATGACGTAGAAACCAGCGGCAAAAAACCAAACGTGCTTGATGATCATTTATTGGATTTAAGGCCTGTACTCGTTGCACATGGTATGGATAAAGCAGTTGCTCGTGAAGGATTCTCCAAACAAGAGGACCACTAATTCCTACCTCGGCTGATATTCTCCGCACACTCGTACCTGGATTCTGCTCTACCAGTGCTAGAATTTCTTCTTCTGCTCTAGGAGTGGATACCGACCTTGGTCTTCCGGATAAATGGCACTGTTTGCTCAAGGAACCGGTATCACGCAATCTTTGGTGAATTCTTCCAAACATGCGTTGTGAAGGAATCTGGCGATTTGGATAAGCGTCAACATAAAGACGTCGCGCTTCGGTGGCGTTCCCATTAGCACGACCATACATGAAATGCATGTCTGTTAATTCTGCGTTAGAGTAACCAGCCATAGCGAAAGAAAACTTGTGCACTGAGAACAACTGTCAAATACGTACTGTTTATTTCACTAAACATCAACCAACTATTATAAGAAAATACACAACGTTTTTGCAAAATAAAAAAAGGGGCTAAAAAACATAAAACAATCCATAACTCCGCAACCGTTACTTTGCGGACCCATGTTTATTGAGACTTTTCTGCTTATTTTGGTTCATACTATTACCTCCTTAAATATTTTACACTCTTTTTTAACACCCTGTATAATTATTAGGTTTCACCCTATCTGATCTGCATACAAGGATGTACTGACAAGATAGGACGAATCTATAGAAAAAATTATATTAATCCTCATCTCAAGGAAGACATGGACAACCCTTCCCAAGACGAGATGCAGGAATAATCTATTTTTTTATCATCCTTTGTATATGCCTAAAAGTATACATTGGACATGATTGAAGACATGATAGTATGAAGTTAACAGAGCATAAGTGTCATTTTTGCTCCGAACAACCTAGAAAAATCTGCAGTTGTGGAGTACAGGGCATGCGATAGATCTAACAAATATTGGAATTCCGGTGAGTTCAAAACTTATTTTGAATTGTTTTAATTGCTAAATAAGCTGACAAGCACCAACGTGGTCCGGCTGATACCTAGGTATATAAAAGCATTGAAGGAAATGAGGAATAATAAACTTGGAAAAAGGACTGTAACGTATTCCCTATAGGGCTAGAGCCAACATTTGGAATTGTTACCATTAAACTTGCTTTGAGAGGGTGCGTGGAGGAAGAATATCGAGTACTTAATCTATGAGCCTCACAGATATTTGCACTTCGCACAGAGAATAAATATATCAGCTTATCGAATGAATAGAAATGAAAAATTGAATAGGTTACAATTGGCTGCAGTCCTATAGGTTAAATAGAGACAGAAGATATTGTAGGAAAGAAAAAGAAAAGGACAACACGAAGAAGATAAGGACATCAATTGTTGTTGGTCCATTTGGGATTTAAAAATTTATAGAAACTATGTATTTTTAAATAGTACAACGAAACTCTTACATTATATTTTATTATTTTATCAAAATTATTACCTGACACGTGTCCTTCCCGCCCTCTGGTACACCTGCACAAATCATTCTTTCTGTGAACGTTCCTACTGATGATAACCTTGTCCTGCACGTCTCCCAGTTTATGTATTGTATCTCAATTTCTCTCAAAACATCAGAGGAGTCCGTACCGTCAGGCTATGTATAACATTTATTAAAGGTAAAATATTATTGAGGAATAGACCAAGCAAATTAAATTTTTACTCGAAAAAAGTCCTATCCGCGAGATTATTGTAAACTTGTCTAAAGGAACATAATATAGGACATCTCTCGTCTCGTGAGTTAAAAACTTTTATTCGCTAACTTTTCTATTTAAACAAATAAGTGAGGAAAACAGTTTTTTCACTTTGCAGGGAAAACCATCAATTTTAGCGAAAAGTGACTCTCA